TATATATATAGAGAGAGAGAGAGAGAGTCATTACAAGCAGATCCAAGAATCAATTCAGTTTGGTTTATTTATAAGCCTATAGCGCCAATAACAGAAGTCACATCCATGCAAAGTCAGTTAATAATGTTATTTATCCAAGGAGCCAGCACTGCTTTGAGTCTAACTTTGTTGCAGACGCTCATCTTGAGCAAGCATGAAGGCGACAGTGGCAAGGAAAACTCCCTCATGAGGAAGAAACCTTTAGCAGAACCAGGCTCAGGACAAGCGGCCATCTGCTTTAACCGCCTGGGTTTGAGAGGAACAGATACACAATGGCAGGTCGAGATTCACATGTTAAGATAGAAATAATATGAAATCAAAATGATTTGTTTGTAACAATTAATTTTAAGAAATGAGGTCAATTTGTCCTCTAGTAGTCTAAGGCTATAGCAGCATAACAAGCTAACCCTAACTATAGGATTTATCAAAAAGGAAAGTCCCAGTTAAACCCAGTCTTCAAACTGGACAATGTGTCAGCCTCATGGACAGAAACTGGAAGTTGGTTCCACAACTGAGAACTGAAAGATCTTCCTCCCATTCTGCTTTTGGAAGCTCTAGGAACCACAAGTAAACCTGCAGTCTGAGAGCGAAATGCTGTTATGAAAATATGGAACAATAAGATCTGTAATATAAGATGGAGCCAGGTTGTTGGTTTAACTTTTGAGTAAAACTGTTCAGTGAAACCTTCTTTATGAAAACCATAAAGAAAGAAATCATAATCATCTTGGTGATCCATTGTTTAAATTGTTTTGGTATTTATAAAGTGGCAACGCTTGAAGGAGATCATGACACAGATTGTTCTTTAATATAAAAGTCTTCTTTACAGCGTTGCCATTGTTTTTGTAACGTGAATGCTGCGACAACGTTTATTTATTGTTCTGCTCTTTGTGTTGCTGGAGGAGCGACAGTCCCTCGCTCCGCTCTTCGAAACGACTTTTTTTTTTTTTTTCTCTCATCTCCCGGGAGGTTGAAAATTCCTCCCGGTCGCTTTTCTTTTCGCAGCAACAGCCAGGCGGATATCTTCTTGATGGGGTTACATTCAACCATTACACGTACCCCTTTGCTCAATGAAAAACCTGTCACAAAATGGCGGAGACGCACGCTAGCAGACCCCATTTTGAGGAATTGACACCAGACGGCGGAAAACCTTGGCGTCCTTGCGCGTGCTTTTAAAAACGGTGCTATTGTTGCAGTTTAAAGCTGCGGCGGAGTTCGTCTCGCGCCCGTTTGGACTCCCACGCGCATCAAACCCAATTCTGGGCTCGGAGGCGCTAGCTTATTAGCTTAGCATTATCTGCCCAGCTGCTTCGCGGCGTTTGAGTGAATCCAGCTGTTTGTTGGGATCTCAGTTGACTCTGAACGTGTTGTCCGCGTCGATCTTTTTGTAGCGAACCACCTTCACGAAGAAGAAACTCGTTTTGTGTTCCGTCATTTTTTTTGTGTGTGTGTGCTAGCTGCGCGCGAGCGTGTCAAAGTCCACCTCCCCGACAGCACAGCTAATGTTGCTAACAAGATTAGCCCCGGCGCTGACTCGCAGAAAAGTCGATACTTTTTTATATATATTATGTTTATTGCTAACCGCTTGCCCTTGCGGGAGATTTAACGAAATGTTTTAAATGTATTTAAAAGTGTTTTTAAGAGCGTGCTAGTTTTAAAGCTAACAGGCTAGCTGCTCAGCTAGCATTCAGTATTTGTAGCTAAAAGATGCACTTCTTAATCTTCACTAAAGGTTTGAGTTATTATGAGGAACTTTACAAAATACACATGTAGTAGTATTACTCATTGAGTTCTGAGTTGTGTTTGGTACTTTTACTTCATGCATTGTGTATTTCTGGTTATGGATTTGGCTTATAAATACAGTGCATAGGTTAATTTTTGTCATTATTAAAAGTAATAAATGCACATAAGTGTTTTTTTTTTTGTCTTATAGCATTTGTTTCAATTGGGTTTTCAGAAATTATACAATATATTTTATTAAAATGAACCTAATTTTGTTTTTCTATCGTTTTAGCATAAAACCATTCAACTTTAGAGTACACTGTATAGATGTAATATTTAAGTTCTATTTGATTGTACGATCTGGATTAACTGTACATGTAAAGTTTACACATTAGCCTTTCATTCTACAGATGCAACACTTGTAAAGCTCCTGAGATTAAAATATTTGGGAAAAATTTAGCTCAAAACAAGCAGAGAAGTTAACTTCATCCAGAATCAGCTGTGACTCAATCATTTCATTGATACTTGTTTTGTTTAGCGCTCCAGAATGATTTTACTCATTTGTAACAATTTCATTAGTTGTCAAGCTCTTCCTAAATACATTTCAATATCTCCACAATTAAACGTTTCTGAATAGGTTTCATTGAATGTTAAAAGATTTGTGCTGTGATGGGCGCCAAAGGCACCTTAGAGCGGTGATTGATTTAAAGAAGCATAATTAATGCCTTTTCCAGCACTAACTTGACGTGTTTATGTTGTGGATGGCGCCTGAACCAGTACACAATACTGGGAATTTGATTTGTTAACTAATATAATCATGAAGTGGCGATGAACAGTCATTGAACGCACCACGGTCACATATGCCATCACCACAGAGTTTCTCATCTAATGTGACAGCCGGGCCTCATGTGGCATATGGTGCAAGAGGGGTCAGTCGGCCCAAGCTGCCCCCCCCAGCACCCAAACAAAAGGTCCCAGTAGGACTCAACTGTCCCCCCACTCCCTGTGAGCTCCAGGTGTATCTGACAGTGAAGGGCTCCATCTTCTGGCCATGATTCCCCTCAGGAGCACATCCATCCACTCATCGAGAGATTTTAACCCTGATGCAGTATTTGTTTGACCCAGGTGCATGCTGGGAGTTTGGGGGAGGGCTCCACAGACAGTTGTTTTTCACATCTGGTGCCAAATGAAGAGTTTTTTTATTTTATTTACTTTTATCTTATTAATTATTTATCAAGACCCCATACATTTTCTGTCAAAACTTTACCCTGTTTTTTGTATTTAATATAATTTAATAAATCAAGAGTCAGAGTTTCTTTATTGTCATTTGCACCTCATGTGGTACATGTGGTGGAGCGAAATTATGTACACAGGGTCCCAGTTACATCCAACAATAAAATGTAAAAAAAACAGTAATAACATCTAAGATATGAACTAAGAAAAACCAACTAAATATACACTAAGCACTCATAACAAAAATATTACGTCGGACATCAGCACAAACATGAGTCTGTGTGAGCAGATGAGCACGCATGAACACCTCAACATTGAAACAGATCAGCAGCAACATGATGTGATTTTTCACAGTGATTATCCTGGTTAGAGATTCATGAGTCTAACAGCCTCAGGGTAGAATCTGTTCCTCAGTCTAGTGGTTCTACACTTAATGCTCCTCAACCTCCTTCCTGAGGGGAGTGGGGCAAAAAGTGTGTGCTGGGTGAGTGAGGTCCTTCATGATGCAGGTGTCTCTCTTCCTACATCTAGAGGTGTAGATGTCTGTGATGGTGGGGAGGCTGACTCCACAAGTCTTCTGTGCAGCCTCCATGCCACACATTGATGCTGGAGCACAGGATGCTCTCCACTGCACACCTGTAGAAGGAGGTGAGGACTGAGCTTCCCAGACCAGCTCGCCTCAGCCGTCTGAGGAAGTAGACTCTGATGAGCTTTCTTGATCAGGCTGGTGGTGTTGTTGCTCCAGCTGAGGTTGTCATTCATGTGCACACCCAAGTACTTGTAGCTGGAGACCACTTCCAACGCAGATCCTCTTATGTTCAGGGTGTGTAGGTGTTTTTGTTCCTTCTGAAGTCCACAATCATCTCCTTTGTCTTCTTCACATTGATATGAAGGTTATTCTCTTTGCACCAGCTCTCCAGGTGTTCCACCTACTGTCCGTAGCTGGACTCATCATTGTTTGTGATGCATCCCACCACTGCTGTATCATCTGCAACCTTTACAATGTGACAGCCTGGATGGGTAGCTGCACAATCATACGTGAGCAGAGTAAACAGGAGGGGGCTCAACACTCATCCCTGAGGAGAGCCAGTGCTGAGGGTTATGGTGGAGG